CCCCTGCCACCCCCAACCCATCCACTTATGTCTTCCTCCTCAGCCTTTCCCAGGCAAACATTTGCCAGGCTGGCAGATAGGAAAACCATCTTTACTGTCACATTAAATTGAATAAGATGAGGAAAAATGCATGTAGAGCCCCATGACACTTCAGAGTAATCCTTTTAGAACAAATCCATTGGGGAGAGGGGGGAGAGAGAGAGAGGCCTTGAACATTCTAGCATTCTACCCACCTGCCACATGGAGTGATCTTCAAAGCTTGCCACCAGATTCTGCATAGTCACCAGGATCTGTGGGAGGCGAGCGCTCTCTGCACAGAGGCCTTGTTCCAATGCTGGAGTCACCCTGAGCTCCACTGGCAGTGCAGCTCCAGTGGAAAGGAAAATTGCAGTGACAGAACATATTACCTCTTCCCAAGTAATTTCTAGAAGGCCAGTGGGGAGATGTTGTCATCTTTCCCCCTGCCCAGTCCACACTCCCTCCCCTGCATGGATCCCAAACTTGCAGGGTGTCCTCTGTGGCATCCTGGGGTATGGGGGTAGAGGAACCATGCTGTGGAGACAGATTCCTTCATTTGCCCCTTCCTTGCAGGGGGATGAGGTCTGTGCACACCAGGTTCCACCTGCGTACGGACTTGGGGAATGCATTCTGTCCTTGAGTAAGGTCCTACTAGCTGACCTGTAGTGCAACACAGCAACTTAGAATTTCCATCCTTCACACCTGCTTCCACTTGGAATAGATGCTGCTTCTGCTCCTGACTACAGAAATACTGAATTGTGGTGCACGGTGATTTTAAATTGCTGTAGAGTTACTGCTGAATCTCCCACTCCTCTTTAAAAGAGAAAATGCTTTATGACCATACTGGCAGGTACGATGGAAGACTTGATTAGAAAGTATTTTAACCTAATGCTAACATGGTGTATGGTGGTTTGTTTTGTTGTTTTTTGTTTTGTCCATGTTCTAAAACTGGCTGTCTTGGTGTTTCCTTTTACAGGCAAAGAAAAAGGGTGCCAGTGATACAGTTGTTGGACTGATTTTTGGATGCTTTGCTTTATTCAATTTCTTGACTTCTTTAATATTAGGCAATTATGTAAGTATCTTTAAAGTTTTCAGTAATGACTTAATTATGGAATAGGAGCTAACAACCTCACTTAGAGCCTGTTCCAGACAAATCTGCTTATGACTTCTAGTGCTCATAGGCTTGCTTTTTTAAGCAGAGGAAAAGAGATGGTGGTTAGTGGCTAGGGAAAGCTAACTTACGCACTCTGAGACTCACTCCATCCTTTAGTAAATGTGGTTAGGTTGTCTTCCTATATTTCATTTGCTTTTACGAGCATCCAACATCCTCTTGGTAACAAAAAGCCTGGACACCTGTAAGTTCAACTAGAAACAAAGAAGACATCCAGCAGCATGAGATCGAGTTGCTCTGCTGACCTTCAGCAAGTGCTCCACAGACCCCAGGAGAAACTGCTTTTCTAACAGAAGGCACATTTCTCTCTGACTGAACATTCAGACTGTCGATTTTGAAGCAATAGAAGTCGTGTGCTGTTTTTTAAAATAATGGGATGTTGCAGGCAGAGCTCCAGCAAGAAGGGGTCAAACACTCAACCAGAACACACTTTGATCAAAGCTCTCCTTTCCATTCTTTTTGGAGTACCCTTTTTTTAAACTGCACTTTTGCCGGGCTTTTGGCTAATAGTACCTAAAGCTTTGAAAAATGTCAATTTTGGAAGAATGAATGGGGCACTTCCTTAGGCACTCTCTGCATTGACTGCAGTCCGGCCTACCAGTGGAGATGGAGCTAAATCATTCAAGGAAAACATTTTAAGGCTAGAGAATATCTTCTAGGTTCCTACCCTAAATGTGGCTATTAAATATAATTCTTAAGCCTGTGTACAGGTTTAAGGCCACATCTGGACTTTTTTAGGATTTTAAGATTAACTTTTCTCCCCTCACTTATCCAAAGAAAGAAGAAAAGTCCTCTAGTCTTTTCAAGGAAAGTGGAGTTAGACCTCTAGTATCTCCCAAGGAACTGTTCCCTCTAACTAGATCTCCCGACCTTGACAAAAAAAGGACTCTTACAACAGACCACTGATATAGGGGACGGAAAAGGGGGACACCCTACTGTCTTCTTACCACTGATGTCCTGTCTAGCATATTTACCTTATTGCACTTGTTAACTCCTTCTGCGCAAACTGTGGCAAGTTCTAAGGGTACGTCCAGACTACCTGCTGGATCGGCAGGTAGCAATCGATCTATTGGGGATCGATATATTGCGTCTCGTCTAGACGCGATATATCGATCCCCGAATGCACTCCTGTTGACTCCAGAACTCCACCAGGGCAAGCGGTGGAAGCGGAGTCGATTTGGGGGGGAGCCACCGCAGCCATCGATCCCGCACCGTGAGGACAGGAGGGAAGTCGAAATAAAATACGTTGACTTCAGCTACGCTATTCCCGTAGCTGAAGTTGCGTATCTTACATCGACACCCCCCCCCCCAGTGTAGACCAGGCCTAAGTCTCCATCAGTCTACATCCACCACCCTTTTCTTCCTGTGTTTCATATTTTCTGTCTCTCTCTCTCTCTCTCTCCGCTACCTGCCCCCCCCCCCCACACACATGTTAGACTCCACCTGGTGTGTTAACACAGAACTGAAGATATTCCTCTTGCTGAGCCAGGAGGCTGCCTCAGAGCTAGGTGTGGCTGGAGCTGTAGTTTTTGTGTATCTTGGCAGAAGTCGGGAGTACATATGACTGCTTACCTTTCTCCTGTGAAGTAGGTGGGAGCTGTGGAGAAGTTGAGGCCTCCACTGGAGTTGCTGCCGTGTGAAACACATAATTCATTACTAATGCAATAGACAAGTAGGTAGCCCATAGAAATGATTGGACATCTCAGGGTTTCACTGAAAGCAGGACAAACCACTGGCTTAAGTAAAACATGCTGCAGTACAGAGACTTTCTCGAGCCCTGAACAATCAAAAGAAACTGAAATGTGTGCTCATGCTAAGGGAGGGTGTAGAATGCAATAAGAAGCCCCACAGACTTACTGTTGAAGGTGACCTCGCCATAGGCTGTGCCCCCAGTCATTTCCTAGCTGGTAGAGTCAAGTGAAAGCAGGCCATGCTATCTTGCCTCTGGCATTTCTGAGAATAGGGAGAAGTGAAGCGCGTTCCCTACCTCAGAGATGGTTACAAGTTTCTTTTAAACTGGCTTCCATGACAGAATGATCTTTTCCCTGAATAATTAGCCTTCCACAGATCCTGTGTTTACTGCCTTCTGGTGCTTATGCCCTGAGCTGCATACCCTGTTGTCTTGAGTTAGCTGCTAGTCTGTTAGATAGATGAGCAAATGGAAACCTCTATTTTTTTGTCAGCTCCCCAGCGGCTACCTTAATAGCACCATTACTGCCTGCTATAGGCAATGCTGGATGTATGTGAGTCACTCCATCTAATCGATCTATGAATGCTGGTGCATTCTGCCACTGTACAGAGGCTACAGCAAATGGTAGTGAGAGTAAGCGCTACCAGTGACTTACCGTTGGGAAAAGTAGGTTAAGTCACTTAACCATTTAGAATATTTTTAGGTTTGATTACGAGCTGGGAGGGGGGGCGGGGCGGGGAGAGTTCTGATTCTCTGCCTTTGTTCTGTCAGTGTTTTTTTTTTTTTTCTAGAGCGTGCACACAGTGTTTTTGATTTCATAACAAAACTCCCCAAATAAGTTTCCTTCATAAAAGCAGACTTGAAGTAATTAAAATGTAATATTTATTCTTCACCAATTGCAGCTTGTACAAATTGGAGCCAAATTCATGTTTGTGGCTGGGATGTTTGTCTCGGGATGTGTTACAATTCTGTTTGGGTGAGTGTGTTTTCTTGCATCTTATTTCTAGTGTGCAATTTGTATTGTGTTCTAATCATATGAAAAACAGATGGTCTTGCTGTTTAAACTCAGAGCTAGGAGTCAAAAGACCTCAGCTCTGTTTCTGACCTTGGGTTGGTGACCTAACCTCTTTGCCTTAGTTTTCCTTCTCTGTAAAGTGTGACTAATACTTGCCTAACTCATGGAGCTATAAGGTTTGTTTAGTACTCTGAGATCCTTGGCTGGAAGATACCATAAATGTAATTTGCTATTATAGTTATTGGGAAAAACCTCAAGTAAGTATGTTAATAAGTGCATACAAAATCTAGCTCACAAAATGGGATTTTTAATTGTTTTAAATCCACTTGGAAATCAGAAGCTTTGCCTGGCAAGTGTAGGGGTTAAGGCACTAACTTGTGCAACATGTAGGTTTTATTTTTAAAAAAGTGTCTAGTCCCCATTGGGCAGCTGTGAAATCAAGTCTGCTTTGTTGGGATGCTTCTTGGCAAAACTATGAGGAGCCACAGACGAAGGCACTGGAGTTCTTCACAGGGGAGAAGGACCCTGTGCTAGCCACCTGCCTCCAAAGGACAGGGGAAGCTGGAGGAGGGCTAGAGACAGTTTCCCTCCTTCCCAGCAATAGGTGGTAGAAGATAAAACTCTCCTTTTCCCTTTCAGGCAGTAGGGGTATGTCTACACTGCATTGTCCGCCTGGGACTGTGGAACCCAAGTCTCCAGACTTGGTATTTCTGAGCCTGTACTTTTGCATACACACTGCATAGTGAACATGGACTTACAATTTCTGGACCTGGGTCTCACAATCATGCTGACGCATCTGTACTGCTCTACACAGACCCAAGTCAAAACTTCTGATTCTGGGGGCATATACCAGGCCTCTTAGTGAACTATCTAGCTGAAGGAATTTCCCTACACCCCCTGAATTTCCCCATCACCCCTGCCCCCCAGTGGTCAACTTGTTACATGCAGTGTTGCCAATTTAATTGTTGGTTGGAAATTTGAATTGAAATTGAAATATTAATACACCCTTTAAAAGCATATACAGCATATGATAAAATACTTGTACCTGAAAAAAGCATAATAGGTTTGAAAAGTATGAACAAAGACTAGCTTCCTCACACAGCTGTGTGTTTTTTTTTTTGTTTTTTTGTTTTTTTTTAAATGATCATGTCGGCACATTGAATTTATTAGGTTAGCTAACATCCCCAAAACAAAAGTATGGCTTGTAAGCAAGGTCTCAATGAGCTCTTCCCTGACAGCTAGTGATGAGCTGGCGATAGGAGCAGAAGGCTTCAGAACCAGCCTGTATTTACATGAACACACCTACTCTGCCTTGGTATCCAGCAGACAGGGCTGTGTTGCCCAAGTGATCAGTGTTGGCTGATGTTGGGTTACAAATCACTTTTTAGTATTGAATGTGGGGGTAATGAAATGTTCTCCGTATTGTATGAGGAAAGGTCAGCAAAACTGTACTTAGCCTGTCTTGATTTGGTGGGAGGGGTCACCCTCAAGGAACTGCACTCACTAAGCAGGGGGTTTGGATGTCCGATCCCAGTGGCGAGAGAGAGAGAGGAGGGTGGGATAGGTTGTTTGCTTGGT